TTTTGGAAGGACAAACTTGAAAGCAGAATACAGGGTTAACGGAAAGATTCTTGGCAGTGTGGAGGAGCAGAGGGATCTTGGGGTTCATGTCCACAGTTCCCTGAAAGCTGTCACCCAGGTGGATAGAGTTGTTAAGAAGGCATATTGTGTTTTAGATTTCATTAATAGAGGGATTGAGTTCAAGAGCCGTGAAGTTATGCTCCAGCTATACAAAAGCCTGGTTTGGCCACATCTGGAGTATTGTGGCCAGTTCTGGTCACCTCATTACGGGAAAGATGTGGAAGCGTTGGAAAAGGTGCAGAGGAGATTTAGCAGGATGTTGCCTGGAATGGAGGGACGGTCTTACGAAGACAGTTTGAGAGAGCTAGGGCTTTTCTCTTTAGAATGACGAAGGATGAGAGGTGACTTGATTGAGGTGTACAAAATGATCAGAGGTATAGATAGAGTAGACAGCCAGAGACTTTTTCCTAGGGTGGAGGTAGCTATCATGAGGGGGCATAGTTTTAAAGTGAATGGAGGTAGATATAGGGGAGACGTCAGAGGTAGGTTCTTTACTCAGAGAGTGGTAGGGCATGGAATGCGTTGCCAAAGCAGGTAGTGGAGTCGGCCTCATTAGGTGCATTTAAGTGGCTATTAGATAGGCATATGGATGATAGTATAAGGTATGGGTGGAGGTTAGAAAGACCTTAGGGTAAAAGTTCGGCACAACATCGTGGGCCGAAGGGCCTGTACTGTGCTGTACTGTTCTATTTTCTAAGTTATATCAAGATCATTACACACGGGTCTGGATAATTTGTCATGTAACAAATTTCGACCTCTCAAATTCACAATCGATTGGAATACCAGTTAGATTGATAAAAATAATAGAATTAAGCCTCAGTCCAAATTAGGCAATATGTTTTTCAAAGAACAATCATGAGAAAACAGCTTGAGGAAATAAATGATTGTCTATGTCCATTTGATGAGGGTTGGTGACAGGCTCATACTGTTACTGACAACATAGTGTAGCTGTACATTGAGTAGTTTTGCTGATGACTGGGAGTTGCTGCCGGTGAGCGGATGATGTGATTGCCAGTGACTAAGTGTTGTTAATGTTTCTGACCGGTAAATGGTCTTACCCATGAATGCATTTAGTTGTTGGCATCTGGGCGATGCTGTTGGCAAGTGGCTTGATATTGTTTCTAATTGGGCTTTGTCATTGCTGGTGTTTATCAAGTTGATGATTGGGATTTTCTCCAATCACTAGGTGATGCTGCTGGAGGTTAGATAATTATTCTCGGTGACTGGTTTTTGCTTCTGGGGTTTGATGCTGCTGAATTGTGTTGTTGTTGAGCCCTGGGTGATATTATTTCATGCAATGCTGGATACTGCTGGTGGCCTTGTGTTTCTATTAGAAGCTGTATGCTGTTGGTGACCATAGGTTTTATTTTGCTGTTGAAAGGATGCTGTTTGTGGCAGTTCAGACTTACTGCTGATAGGTGATTAATGCTGCTGGTGGTAGCAGAATGTGGCTGAGGGCTTGCTATTTGTGATCGGGACTGTGATGATGATGAGTGTCATTAAAGTTTGGATGCAAATGTACAATGTGTTGTTGGTGTGTGGGAGGCAAATCTCCCACAGTGATGCAGTGATGAAGAATCTGTAAATCTGCTCATTACTGTCTGCTTCTTCAAACTGCAATGTTTTTAGCTTTAAACAGAACTCTGGCACTTTATTGATTGTCTCACTTCTATTGAATTAATAATGCTACTGGATGATGCCAGTGCTGAAGACTGGATGAAGGTCTGCCCCTAACCCTGCTTTTCCCATAGGCCCCTTATTTCTGTAGTGCAATTTTCTATAACACGCTGTTGTGCTGGAACGCAACTATCGCGTTATAGCAGAACTCTCGTACATGAATGGCAAAGAGATAATCCACATTTTAAAAAAGTACAATTTGTTGTGTAGAATAAACCATCCTTGATAAACTTTTGTAATCTCTTTCCCACACTGCAACCCTTGATTACAAAAACAGTATTTTGCAGGACAGATGTGGACAGTTGAACCTGTAAGTATTATAAATTACAATAATAATCAGAGATCACTAATCTCAAAGTCCAAGTGATGCCAGTTGTTCAAGTTCTGTGACTTGAATCCCTTAAACAGATTGTAAATGATTGTTCAGGTATGCATTTTTATCTGTATAAGTAAACTTTGGATCCTAGCTGAACAAATGTTCAATTTTTGGTCTATTCTTTTTATTAAGACAAAGCATCAGAAAAGGGTCCAGAAGATAAAGCTCCTTCAGAAAAGGCCCCTCCAGAAAAGGTTCCAGAAGAAAAAGCTCCTTCAGAAAAGGCCCCTCCAGAAAAGGTTGCAGAAGAAAAGGCCCCATCAGAAAAGATTCCGGCAGAAAAGGCCCCAATCAAATCGGGTGCTGAGTTGGAATTCTGGCTGAGTCAAATTTATTTCTTCTTTACAAAGAGGTTGTTTCCAGCCCATGATCATGCTGAAGTTCTGAAAGTGGAGGCAAAGAGGGACATCGTGCGACAGAATGAGCTGGCTCACCAGGCTGTGATAAAGGCTGCAACAAGAGCTAGGTCTGTATCACTTGTTTTCTAGGAGATAGCTGATTAATCCCAATTCTCATGGGTTGTCGGTGGGAGCTGGTAGAGATGGTTCTGTGGATCTGGTCTTGGTTATATCTAAAATAAAAAGTTTTCACAAAGCACAGATTCCCTTGCATTGGATCTTGTTAAAGATGATGGGTCTGATAGACACAAGACTGTGAGAATGTTTGCTTGTTCACCACCTTCCCTGTAAAGATAACTACAAAAGCATGATGGAGGAGCTGGTCAGAGTTGATCTGAAGGGGATCCTAGCAAGGAAGACAGTGGTGCAGCAATGGCAAGAGTTTCTGGAGATAATTTGGGAGGCACAGCAGAAATTCATCCCAAGGAAGAAAAATCCTATTAAGGGGAGGACAAGGCAACCATGGCTGACATGGGAAGTCAGAGACAGTATAAAAGCAAAAGAAAAAGCACACAATGTGATGAAGATTAATAAGAAGGCAGAAGATTGGGAAAACAAGCAGAGAATAACTAAAAAAGCAATAAATCGGGGGAGAGATGTTATATGAGAGTAAGCTAGCCAGTAATATTAAAGATGATTGAGATATTAAAGAGTTTTTTTAGATATATAATATGTCAGAGACAGGCAAGACTGGACATTGGACCACTGGAAAATTAGGGTGGAGAAGTAGTAATGGGGAACAAAGAAATGGCAGATGAACTGAATAGGTACTTTGCATCAGTTTTCTCAGTGGAAGACACCAGCTGCATACCAGAACTTCAAAAGAATCAGGGGCAGAGATGAGTGTAGCGGTCATCACTAAAGAGAAAGGACTGGGAAGCTAAAAGGTCTGAAGGTGGATAAGCAACCTGATGGACTACACCCAAGAGTTCTGAAAGGGATAGCTATTGAGATTGTAAAGGCATTGATGGTGATCTTTCAGGAATCACTGGACTCAAGCAGGGTCCCCGAGGACTGGAAAAAGGCTAATGTAACACCTCAGTTTAAGAAGCAAGGGAGGCAGAATACAGGAAGCTATAGGCCGATTAGCCGGATCTTGGTCATTCATAAGATTTTAGAGTCCATTATTAATGAAATTGTGAAGTACTTGGAAATACATGGTAAAATAGGGCTGAGTCAGCATGGCTCATCAAGGGGCGATCATGCCTGACAAATTTGTTCGATTCTTTGAGGAGGTAACAAGTAAGTTAGACAAAGGAGAGCCAATGAACTTGATCTATTTGGATTTCCAGAAGGCGTTTGACAAGGTGCTGCATAGGATACTGCTAAATAAGGTAAGAGCCCATGGTGTTAGAGGAAGGTAGTGCATGGATAGAGGATTGACTGACAGGCAGAAGGCAGAGAGTGGGGATAAAAGGGTGTTTTTCAGGATGGCAGCCGGTGACCAGTAGAGTTCCAGCAGGGTCAGTTTTGGGACTAGAACTACATTGCACATTAACGATCTGGACGGAGGAACTGAGAATGTCGTTGCTAAGTCTACAGATGACACAAAGATAGGTGGAGGGACAGGTAGTGTTGAGGAAGCGGGGAGGTTGCAGGCAGATGGAATACAATGAGGGAAAGTGCGAGGTTATGCATTTCAGTCAGAAGAATAGAGCTGTAAACTCTTTTCTAAATGGGAAAAGGCTTCAGAAATCTGAAGCACAAAGGTACTTAGGAGTCCTTGTTCAGAATTCTTTTAAGGTTAACATTGAGGTTCAGTTGGCAGTTAGGAAGGCAAATGCAATTTTAGCATTCCTTTTGAGAGACAAAGAATATAAGAGCAGGGATGTACTGCTGAAGCTGAAGCACTGGTCAGACTGCATTTGGAATGTTGTGAGCAGTTTTGGGCACTGTAACTAAGGGAGAATGTGCTGGCATCAAAGGACGTCCAGAGAAGGTTTACAAGAATGATCCCAGGGATGAAGGACTTGTCAATATGAGGAGTGGTTGAGAACTCCGGGACTGTAATCCATGGAGTTTAGCAGGATGAGGAAGAATTTCATTGAAACTTACAGTATATTGAGAGGCCTGGATACAATGAACATGGAGATGTTTCCATTAGTAGGAAAGACTGGAACCCGAGGGCACAGCCTCAGAGCGGAGGGACAACCATTTAGAACTGAGATGAGGAGGAGTTTCTTCAGCCAGAGGGTGACTAATCTGTGAAAATCTTTTCCACTAAGGACTGTAGAGGCCAACTAATTGAGTGTATTTAAGACTGGGATAGACAGTTTCTTGATTAGTAAGGGGATCAAGGGTTATGGGAAGAGGGCAGGAGAATGGGGTTGAGAAACACATCAGCCATGATACAATGGTGGAGTGGATTCGATGGGCTGAATAGCCTAATTTTCCTTCAATATCTTATGGTCTGATAGACTTGCCATACCTGAAAAGGGTAGCCGAATAGTTTAGTCATAGACTAGTAGCTCAAAAGGCATGAGATTCAAACTCATAGCTTGTCTTGGTGAAAGTTAAATTCCATATTGTAATTAAAATCCCATTCTGAAATTCATTTCAAAAATTATTCTGAAACTCATTTCAAAAATCCGGACCCCTATAAACCAGTGTCAGAAAAATAACCACAGAAGCTTGATGCTTGTAAAAACATAAATGGTTCACACCAGGGAAGGAAAACTGCTGCCCTCACCTGTTCTGGAATGATGTGTGACTCCAGTCTCACACTGGAATCTCACCAATGGGAATAACTCAAATCGCTCCTCAGAGCTGTAGATTTTTGTGCAGTGTCATTCTAATGAATCAAGACTTGAACTTTCTGTGACTTTAATGTCTTTTCCACAGTGTGGCTGCTTAACACCGCACACAGTCCTTTAAGTCTGGTCTCACTGCTTTGCACAAATTATTATTATTGGCTCTTGTACTCAGGCCTTTATTTCATTAAGTCAATAAGTTAAGGTGTTGCCCATTTGGATTTGGATATTAACTGATATCTACATAGCTCTGTAAAGTACCACAATGGCATTGCAACTGGTCATTTGTTTTGATGTCATTATAGATTGAAAGAGGAAGCCATGAAACATGAGCAAGAGGACACTGATCTGCTTCTGATTGTACGTAGTCCTGGAGAACAAAGTGAAGATGACGATAAACACCCTTATCCAACGCAGAAGGTGCCCACAGAAGGTGCCCATTTAGTGCCAAATAGAAAAAGTAGTGGAATTAGAAAGAAGAAAAAGTCTGTATGAACAAGTTTTGTATTAACTGGGGAGAATTTATGAAACAACAAAATTATATTTTCACAATCGACGAAACCAGACCATCTTTTAATTTTTTGCTGAAATGTAAAATCAAATGTTGGTAAACAAATAGTTTTCTTTTGCAGCAGTTTTAACTATAGAACAAACTAAGATCAATGCACAAAAATCTATCTCAGTGCAAGCCATGCTGTGATTAATAATTATTAGTACTCAAATTCCTCCACAGCTTCATCCCTTTCCTTTTCTGTAATCTCCTCCAATTCTACAATCTTCCGGACATCTGCAATCCATGATTTTCTATGTTCTTGTACATCCTTGATTTTAATCTCTAAACCATTGAGGCCACATCTTCAGGTGCTTGGCCTGAGCTCTAGAATTCCCTCCCAAAATCTATCTATCTTCCTCTGTCTACCTATAAGCCAATTCTTAAAAATACATGTTTCAAAAAACTTTTGCTTACCTGTTAATATTACCGTTGTCAAATTTGATTTGAGATAGCTGCTTTTTTTGATTTGTTATTGTTATTGATAGATTTTAATTACTTGGCCTTATTGAAATGTTACTTTTTTGCAAAATAAATATTTGAGGAGTGACAAGAACATCACACAAAAAGTAGCTCCTTATACGGAATTTTCATTCTACTCCAAACCAATGCCCAATGCAAATAGGATTTGAGAGGGTCAAAACTTGAAATGTTACCTCCTGGCTTCTACCAAAGTAAGTTTTAAATTGGTGACCCTTGTGTTCAGACAAGCTCCTATTAAATGTCAGCAGGGGCCTACAGGGGACAAAACAATTGTTGGTACAACATAATTTTAACCTCCATTACTGCACTGACTTCAGTCTAGGAGCACAGCACCAGCAGAAAAAGCCCATTGAATACCAGAGGCCCAGATTCATCTTGCAAAATTACTTTTATTAAAATTTCTTCTTGTCCAAGGAAGACCTGAGTGTTCACCCCACATAGTACAAGAAACCCTTGGGCCCTCTGATATCAACAAATACCACCACTCCAGTGTCCTGAATATACACACACAAGAACACACGATAATATGCTTGTAAAACTCACACATCTTAATGTGATAGAAGTTTTAAAAACCTGGGAAGTTTATTTTAGTTCTCCTTATGCCTTTCAATTAATTTTTACTTCACTAAATTCTGCTAGTATTGCACATTCAGTTGCCCAAACTGTTGTAGTAAACAATGAACACTAGACTTCACTCTTACTTCTTAGATGCCAAAAGGTATATGGCTTTTGGGGCTAATTTACATATCAAACATCTTACTTCACTAGATCAAAAGTTAAACAGGTAACAGAGACCATTTGACATTCTAACTTGAAGATTCAGGAAAAGGAAATTACAATGTATTTGCATCCACCACCTGACTCATTCTGCACTCTACCTCTTAAATGGAACAATGGTGCCTTTACCTTTCCTTTTTACCAGAGTTTCTGTTTCCAATCTAAAAATTAGAGCAAAACCTTTCAGCCGTACAATTACGGAACACTTCTGAACACAGAGATAGGGTAGAAGTTTGGAATTCATTTTATCAAACAACTATTGAGGCTGAATCAATTGTGACTATTAAAAATGGTTTTTTTTGGTTAATGACTGGTAATAAGGGGCAAGCGGTAAAGTTAGGTAGTTGGAATTTGGTCACAGATCAATCATGGTTGAATTTAAACTTCTATCATACACCATGTAACCATGACATTGGACGCTGTTCAAAAGAGATTCATTGGGCTGATTCCTGCAATGAAGGGCTTGACTTTTCAAGAATGGCTTAATAGTTTAGGTGTTTTCCATGAGAGTTTAGAAGAATTAAATCTTATTGAAACATACAAGATTCTGAAGGAGCTTGACAGGGTAGATGTTGAGATTTTTCCACTAGTGTGAATGTCTCAAACTAGGGGGCATACTTACAGAATAAAGTGAAACTGATACAAAAGAATTTATTATCTCAGTGGGTAGTGAATGTCTGTAATTCTGTACCTCAGAAAGCAGAGGCTAGATCATTGAAACTATTTAAATAGGAGGTAAATGGATTTTAGAAGGGGAATTGAGGGTTATGAGGAACTGACACGCAAGAACATTTGAGGCCTGGAGCAGATCAGCTACAATCTATTGATTGGCAAAAAATAACTTGTGGGTCTAAATGGCCTACTCCTGCTCTTATTTCATATGTTTATCTGCAAGATCTGGGAGACAGTGGACCACAGATTTTAAAAATAATGATGGAAATCTATGAATGTTATTTTGGACCAAGCACCGATGCTGTTTTCATTTTGAGACAAGTGGTACAACAAGACCAAGAAAGCCAATGTAACATGAAAACTGATCGAGAGAAGGCTTATAACTGGTGTCGATGGATGAAGTATAGAGGCATGCTGGGATTTGTAAATTTTCTGAGAAATATCTACAATAATTACAGGACATGTACAAGAATGTACTAGAGGAAGAAACAGTGTGGAGGAAGAGAATTTCAAAGCCAGAGTTGGACTGTATCTATAACTAGCACCAAACTCCTTCCTTTTCCTGATTGTTACGGATGTACTGTGAACTGAAATGTCATGGTCGATGAAGTTTGCAGATGACATTGAGTTGTGTGTTGGTGATAATGAGATTTTTTATTCATTCATGAGATATGGACATCACTAGCTGCCCTGGAGAAGGTTGTGCTGAGCTACTTGAATAGTTGTAGAAAAGCACAGATCAGCAGACCAGTTGTCCATTATATGCGCTGTCAGTTTGAGCTTTAGGAAGAAAATTGGAGTGAAGGTGTAAAGATCAAGGGTGAAAACACAGAGAACGTGAATAGCTTAAAGAACCTGGCATCAGTCTGTAGACTGCTAAAACAGATTGTCAACTTGGCCAAACAGCAAGGGATGCTGGTTACATAGGCCAAGTAAAACTCTGAAGTCACAAAATCCAGAAACCAGACACATAGCAACTAGGTGGTAAAGATATCAGCATCATGTGAAGGACACATCCTGTCAATAGTCATCCTGGATAGACATATCTCATCAACTAAACAAAGAAGGGATGCATATTAGCAACCAAGAATCAGACATTCAAGCCTGAAACAATGAAACAAATATTAACAGGACATTTAGCGATTAAGCCATCCAAACACCATTAAGCAGGATCTCCTGATTGGCTAAAGCTATAGAAAGATTCAAAGGCTAGGGGAAAAGATATAAAAATAGGACTTCCCTGTGGATCAGGCAGGAAACCTTCCAAGGAGACTGACTTGACAAAAGGCAGAGACCAGCTGACCATCCGGACAGAGAGAGAAAGCAGCTTCACAGTCCCACAGACAGACACGGAGAGAGTGACTGCATAAATCCACAAGAGACTCAAGAAGTATTGTAAGTTCAATGGGCTGAATAGGATTAGAGATAGGTTGACGTTTCGGGCCTCGACCCTTCATCAGAAAAGGGGGAGGGGAAGGGGGTTTTGAAATAAATAGGGAGAGAGTGGGAGGCGGATAGAAGAGGGATAGAGGAGAGGATAGGTGGAGAGGAAACAAACAGGTCGAAGAGGCGGGGATGGGGCCAGGAAAGGTGAGTGTAGGTAGGGAGTTAGGAAGGGGATAGGTCAGTCCAGGGAGGACGGACAGGTCAAGGGGGCGGGATGAGGTTGGTCGGTAGGAGATGGAGGTGCGGCTTGAGGTGGGAGGAGGGGATAGGTGGGAGGAAGAACAGGTTAGGGAGGCAGGGACGAGCTGGACTGGTTTTGGGATGCGGTAGGGGGAGGGGAGATTTTGAAGCTTGTGAAATCCACATTGATACCATTGGGCTGCAGGGTTCCCAAGCGGAATATGAGTTGCTGTTCCTGCAACCTTCGGGTGGCATCGTTGTGGCACTGCAGGAGGCCCAGGATGGACATGTCGTCTGAGGAATGGGAGGGGGAGTTGAAATGGTTCGCGACTGGGAGGTGCAGTTGTTTATTGCGAACCGAGCGTAGGTGTTCTGCAAAGCGGTCCCCGAGCCTCCGCTTGGTTTCCCCGATGTAGAGGAAGCCACACCGGGTACAGCGGATGCAGTATACCACATTGGCAGATGTGCAGGTGAACATCTGCTTGATGTGGAAAGTCTTCTTGGGGCCTGGGATGGGGGTGAGGGAGGAGGTATGGGGGCAGGTGTAGCACTTCCTGCGGTTGCAGGGAAAAGTGCCGGGTGTGGTGGAGCTGGAGGGGAGTGTGGAGCGGACAAGGGAGTCACGGAGAGAGTTGTCCCTCCGGAAAGCAGATAAGGGTGGGGAGGGAAAGATGTCTTTGGTGGTGGGGTCGGATTGCAGATGGCGGAAGTGTCGGAGGATGATGCGTTGGATCCGGAGGTTGGTGGGGTGGTACGTGAGGACGAGGGGGATTCTTTTTTGGTT